TGTTTACTTTTTTAAGTCTACTTTTATGTAGAGGTATTTAAAATTTTTCTTTGTAGAGATTTACACATTTCTTAAGTTTATTTGTAAGTATTAAATCTTCTTTATTGCTATTGTAAAAGAGGTTTTCTCTACCATGGTGCCCTTTAATGTTTTATTGTTTGTTTATTTGGAGGCTGTTGATATTTTTGTGTTAATTCTATATCATTCTATTATATTGAATTTTTTTCTTTTTGTTGTGGAGATGGGGTCTTACTCTTCCTCTGTCATCTAGACTGGAGTGCAGTGCTGTGATCATAGCTCACTGCAACCTTGAACTCCTGGGCTCAAGTGATCCTCCTGCCTCAGCTACCTGAGTATCTGGGACTCAGGTACATGCCACTATACGCAGCTGATTTTTTAATTTTTTTGTAGAGACAGGGTGTCATTGTGTTGCCCAGGCTGGTATTGAATTCCTGGCCTCAAGTTGTCTTCCCACCTCAGCCTCTCAAAGTACTAGAATTACAGGCATAAGCCACCATGCCCAGCCTGAGTTTTTTTTTTTTTTTAAGATAATTTTATCATAGATTCTCTAGGGTTTTTATGGTATATTATCTGTCATATCATCTGGAACAGAAATAGTTTTACTACTTCTTTACTGTCTTTGGCCTCTGATTGATTTCTGTTTTCTAATTACATTGACTAATACTTCTAATGTTGTTCAATAGTAACAGAGATAGTGGGCATCTTTGCCTTGTTCCTGATCTTAGTAGAAATGATTCTAGTGTTTCATGTTTCCCTGTGTTACCTGCCAACTTTTTATTTTTTAGCCTGCCAAATGATGGCTAAGTCCATTAAAAGCAATTATGGTAGTTGTGTCTGAGCACACAACTCTCTTCAATCCAGCTGTGAAGTTTCCATTAAAAGCAATACTCTACAATGTCAATTGAATATAAACATGGTGTTACTTGCCCAAAGTGCTTTATCTTGTTATGTTGATGAAATCCTATAAGCTTGGTTGGAAAGATCACCTTGATACATTTAAAACTTTTTTAAAATAAGAAAATATGTTTAAAGCGAAATAATTTCTAGCTTAAAAATCTTTCCTTACTGGCATTCTCTTTCAGCTAAAAGCAAAAGACGTGGACTGTTTAATTTGGGAGATACGTGTGTATCTACCCCTTGAACCCCCATGGGCTGTAGTCTATGATGATGTTTTAGAATATTTAGTGAACATTTAGTAGACATCCAGGTCTACTAACAGGCAACACCACTGAAACATAGCACTCAGACAGCTACTTTTGCTTTATGGAGGCTGATTTTCTAGAGAGTGATTAGCGTAAAGGTTGAGTGCAGTCTGAACTTAGCTACTGGGGCTTCACATCGCGCAGTCTCTCTCTGCTTTGGTTTTATCACCTGTGAAATGTAGGTACTGGTGACATCTACTTCGCAAGATTGTTGTTGCAATTAAATTGTGATCACATAGGTCAAATGAATATAACAGTGCCTGGTTTGTAATAATAAAAGCCAGCACGTGTAGCACTTACTGTTATTATTCTAATTCACTTACTCTATAGTATCATAAGCAAAAGTATTAATAATTTGAGAGGGCAGTTATGTGAAATATTTGAAAAAGATTTTCATCAGTATCAGTATCGATTAACTGTTCTATTGACTAGATAATGCTCGTTCTCTGGCTCATATAGTCCAAATTTTCTCGGGGCATTTAAATATGCAGTTTGTTAAAAAAAAATTAATTATGCTAGAGTGTGAAATCTGCCTTAATATTCTTTTTTTATTTCAACATATTAAAGGGGTATAAATCTTTTTGTTACATGGATCACTTTTGTAATGCTCAAGTCATGGCTATAAGTGTGCCCATCACCCGAATAGTGTTCATTGTACCCATTAGGTAGGTTTTTACCCCTCTCCTTCCCTCCTCCCCTGACTTGATTTCCAGTGGGTTTTACTTCCCTCTGTCAACGTGTGCTCCTTGGTTAGTTCTTAATATTCTTTTAATGTCACAGAAATGTAAAGAAACTTGTCTTGCAGATTATAATTTTTAGTGTTGAAAATTGTCCATAATAGAATTTTTGTTTTGTTTTATTTTATGTGGGTTTTTTTGAGACAGGGTCTCGCTGTGTTGCCTGGGCTAGAGTGCAGTGGTGTCATAATAGCTCACTCAGCCTCAAACTCCTGAGCCCAGGCTGTCCTTCTGCCTCAGCTTCCCTAGTAACTGGGACTACAGGTGTGAGCCACCACAGCCAGCTAATTTTTTTATTATTTGTAGAGACATGGTCTTGCTATGTTGCTTAGACTGATCTCGAACTCCTGGCCTTAAGCAATCCACCCACCTCAGTCTCCCAAAGTGCTAGGATTATAGGCATGAGCCACTACACCTGGCCAATTATACACTTGTAACACTGAATATAATTGAACATAGACTGTACTTTGCAGCATTTAGAACTGTCTTCTAGTCCTTAAATCTTAAACTCTTCAAGGCTGATACCTTGTCTTATGCTTTGTTTTAGGCCAGCGGTAGCCGTGCCTTTTATCTATGAGTCTACAAATTTTAGCTAAGCACCTATGTTCAATTTAAAAATGTGCTTAATTTATTTGTACACTTAGTTCTTTAATGAAGCAGATTTGTATCATACTCTTTTGGAGATGCTGTTGAATTAACACTTTTTTTTATAACCTTCCCCTAAGGTATTCCCGTCTGTCAGCAGCACTTAATTTGGAATAACATGGAACTTGAAGATGATTATTGCTTGAATGATTACAAGTGAGTGTAATTGCATATAAGCTGTTTTATAGGCATTTAGTGTTATGAGTTCATATGCCAATATTTTTCTTTTAAATCCTTGGATCATGTCTCTCTTTCTGACTAGTTCTGATTCTTACACTTCATTATAAATCCTGAACTTCAGATGTATTAGCTTGGTATCCCATACTATCTGATCTTTGTCCTCTGATACTTTTGTTTTACGTTTTTGTTTTTAATGCTGAGCTGTTTATCCTCTGCCTTTTAAAAATCTTTTTTTTTTTTTTTTTTTTTGCCTTTTTTGTCCTTTCTTTGAATATTGACCTATTCCCACCTGGCCATGTTCCTTTTCTTTCTGTTTTCACAAGGAAGAATTGCTCTGCATGGAGTCTTTCATTTCTCATTGAGTCCTCCCTTTTGTTACTAAGCCATGCTCTGGGTACCAGTGAGTGCAAGCATACTTTCTGAGTTTTTGTCTTTTTTCCCTTCTTTCACATAATTCATCACTCTTTTCTTAAGAAAAGAGAAAAAGAGTAAAGGGCAATTTGGAAAACTGGAAGAACACTGGGAATCAGGAGAGCTTATAGTTTTGCTATTTTTCTGTGTTCTGTTTTATTAAATAGACCTGCTGTTTGCTAACACTTTTGGTCTTGGGCAAGCCTCTTTTCTTATCTGGGCCTCCTTTTCCTTATAGAAAAGGCTAAACCACATGATCACACGGGGCTTTTCCAGTACTTTTATTCTGGGATTTCACATCATACTTAAGGCTTATGAGAACTTTTTCACTTTTTTGTTATTTATGCAAGTAAATACATTAACATTTTATATTTATTCACCTTGCTGTTATCTTTTTGTATTTTAGAGAGTGGGCGTTATGCCTGATAAACCAGGACATAATTATGTGTAGATTTAACACTGAATGTATTTTTATGATTATGGTTTATTTTTGTGTTAACTATCCACAGCATTTCAGAAGGTTGTACCTTGAAGCTGGTATTGACTATGCGTGGTGGACCTATAAATACTAGACGAGGTAGGCACGTGTGCATTAAAGCAATTTGACAATGACATTAAGTCAGCATTTTTATAGCCTCAGGTTTTATTCAGGTTTCCCTTCTGCTATCAGGTCTTAGAAGAATCACATTTGATTCTCTAGGCATTGTTCTTCAAAAAAATACGGAGGTTAGAACTCTAAAATATATTCCAGAAAATCTGATGATTCCTGATTCAATCTAAGGAGATTTAAAAATAAACCTCACCAGCA